ACCTAATAGCGATGGCCTCCAACCTAATAGCGATGGCCTGCAACCTAATTGCGATGGCCTCCAACCTAATAGCGATGGCCTGCAACCTAATAGCGATGGCCTGCAACCTAGCGATGGCCTCCAACCTAATAGCGATGGCCTGCAACCTAATAGCGATGACATCCAACCTAATAGCGATGGCCTCCAACCTAATAGCGATGACATCCAACCTAATAGCGATGGCCTCCAACCTAATAGCGATGGCCTGCAACCTAGAAGCTTTCAAGTCGGTGCTACTCGTCTAGCAGTACTCCAGTACTGGAAAGTTCATGTACTGAGGCTCGAAGCTCCCTGCAGAGGGCGAAAGCAGCGAAGCATTGCTACCTCGAGTACAGGTGGGAAGAGTGGTGATGTCTAGTGTGGTGTGTTTCTTGTCCCTTTTTAGTTCTTTCTGTAGTTCTTAACATATCTTAACCGTAAGAGGGGGTAGGCCGCAGTAGGCTCAAGCAAGCTAGTGAGCTTAGGTAGCTACTACCCAGTACGCACGAAAGCTCAGGCTTCTTCAAGGATGCCCTGACACTATTCATGTCAAACAGTTCCTCTTACATTGGTGCGCGGTGAAGCCTAGGACACTATATACCTGTTTCAAGGAATGAATGTTTGTTTGCCTCCTGTGGAGCCCCAGCATGATGGCATTCTCCAGGTTTAGGCTGTTTCGGAGCAATTGGCCCCGCTTCAGGTGTCCCTGACCACTTGCAGCCTTACGCGTGCGAAGGAGGAGCTGTGCAAAGAACATGGCCTCAATCCTGCAACGTGTTTGCAAAACAATTGGCCAGAGGAGCTCGCAAAAGATCTTTACAAGCTTGAAGACTGTTTTGGCTTGTAAAAGCTAGCGAGATATTTGCTTCTACCCCAAGTCCCAAGTCGGTGGAGGATTGGACGCCTCGGAGACCTTCTTTCCCTAGAGCCTGGGTCAAGGCTCCTGCTTCATGAGGCATTGGTGCTGGAGCTGGTAAAGCGTGCGGGAGAAACCTCTTCAGAGCCGTCGGAAGGAGAGATGTCGACCTCCGCTATGTTGCCTCCTGGACAGCATGATTGCCATTTTGACTTCTTTCAGGAAAGAAGCGAATCCAGTTGCATGGAAAGCCTTGAGAGAATTTGCGTGGTTCACAATAGAAGCCCTCAAGCCCCTGTCACAACACGACTTGTTGAGGGTCTGTGATCCTTGTTTGGGTTGCGGACTCCTAAAGCAGCAAGACTTCGATAGGATATCATCAGAAAGAAGCACTTATTGCAGTGGCTGGCATGAACATCATGAACCAAAAACGTATTTATGAGAGCGGTTCAAAACGAGAAGACTAACCAAGGCAGGAAGTTGCAGAAAAGACTTGTGAGCGAATGTGCGAGTCCTTTCGAACAGCTCTGGCTGAAGGTGCCCAGCTGTGGGGATGACATGTGAGTGGATGTTGGGATCCCTGTTTTCTTTTCAGTTTGTGGTTTTTAAGTCGTTGGGTGGGAGGAATAGGCTGGTAAGAGGAGGTAAGCGACGTAAGTAGGTGATTTTCTTGCTGAAGTAGCTACTAGCTAAGAGGTACGTAGCTACTAGGCCCTTGGACGCAGAAGGGCTCAGGGCTCAGGCTTATTGATTTGGCTGCTAGATTTTTTGGAAAACTCAACTTCCCTGTTGGGGGGTAGGCAAACAAGTAAGCTTCAATAAGTAGCTACCAAGTAGGCCGCAACTAACGCTTGGACGTACTGTATGCTCAGGCGTTTTCTTTGGACTAACTGTATGTGCTTTTTGCTACGAGCTGGAGCATCCTACTTTGACCACTATTCAATTGGATTGAACAGCAAGCAGATCCGCCTGTGCCCACCCCAGCATTCCCTTCTCCTCCTTCCCTTTTAGCCAGCAATGCCTGGAGCACTGCGCTGCTGCAGGTCGCCACCTTTGCCAATCCAAAACCAAACGACACCCCACCCGGTCCAGCTTTCAGCTAAGCCAAACCCAACCCATCCAGCCTTCAACCAAGCCAAGGCAGAACCAACCCAAAAACAAAACAGGTCTTGCCAGGACATGACACCTCGCCTACCTACACAGGGGCACGTTTTGACTTTGATCAAATCCCTGGACGTTCCACACTCAGGTTCTTTGAAGAACCCCTCGCGCGATTGATTGGGTTCCTAGATGTTCATTGGAACTGCACGACTGCCCAGGCCAAGAAGCAAAAGTCCAAGGATTGCTGAAGTTTGCACAAACCTTCGATGCAGCCTGCGTAGGAGCCAAAGGCACCTCTGAGATCGAGCAAAAGCTCAAGGAGATTCTGCAAGCATGCAATCATTCCCAAGAGTCAGGATGACTAGGCTTCAAGATTGTGTCAAAGGTTGATGCAAAAGGCTGCAAATCATTGGTCCCCCAAAGATCGAGATGTTAGCTCGACCTCTCCAATGTCAAGTTCCCAGTCAAATCGAGTTTTCAAACGTCCGATATAGATTGAAAGCAAAGGAGCAAAGAATGTGTGTGTGTGTGCTATTCAACGATTTAAACGGTTTGCTGGTTTGCTTGTTAGCCCCACCAGGGCTGGCTGTTCCATGGTAGGAGATTCAAGCAGAGGCTGTAGAGGCAGCGGCAGAGACTGCAGAGGCAGCGCCAGAGGTGCCAGAATCACCAGAGGTGCCCGAGGCGCCAGAGGTGCCCGAGGCGCCGGAGGTGCCGGAGGCAGCGGACATAGGGGTGCCATGAATAAACGCATGAAGAAATCATCACAGAACCCTGCAGTGACGAGCTTCAAGAATTGCATGTCCATGCTGAAGTAAGTTTGTGCATCGTCTTCACTTTTTTCAATCACAGCTTGGAGTATTCCATACCCGGTTGCGCAAACAGTGTCAGTCCTACCATATGTCGGTTTGGGGGAAGCAAAGACTCGGCGAGCCACAGACATCCACACTGGATATCACGGGATGCAAGCCTTGGAGGCAGAAGCTGAGTCAGAAGAGCACACAACTGCTGCTCCGAAAATTTCTGAGATGGAGGAGATGCTGTCGCAGGCATCCGCTACAGGGGGGTTTGCAATCTTGCACCTGACAGGTGTTTGACTTTTGTTGGCTGGGGGAGTGGCTGGGGCACCTGAAAGTGACATATTGTACTTATGTAGATTTCCGCAAGACGTCAACAAGACCACACTGATTCTGCAACAGCCAGATTCACCGAAAACCATGAACTCCGCTTGCCTTGCAAGTCGCTGCAAGTCAAGCAAGTGAATTCAACTGAATTCAAACATGGGTTGCTTGTTTGGATGGTGTTCATTTGCCCCACAAGGGCCTTGTGCAGGAAAGTGGGATGAACCCAAATGTCATCCTGAAGAATCTGACCGACGCTTGACCGAACAGCGTCATTGCGTCACGGAGGTCATCATTGACGGTGTCTCAAATCGGCGGACACGATGTCAGGTAGTCACAGATAGTCAGGTAGTTGGTGCTGAATGGTTTTTCGGCTTTGTGGATACCGTGTATCATGTGATCCCACCACGAAGTCTTCATTCTTCTGTAGGAAACAAAGTGTTCGTCAGCGGAAATCCTCCTCGTCCTTGCGAAAATCGTGAGGAGCTTGTGCCCTTGTGGCCTTCCATTCCTGAGCTCGCAGACCGTCTCAAAGCTGTTTTGGAAACTCTGCAGCAGCGCATGGCCACGGCCTGTGCCACTGCGAGTTCTGAGGATCAGGAGGCCAAGCTAAAGGCGCACGATGGAGACAACTCTCAAGAAACAAAAAGATATTTGGGGATGTTGCACTTGTTGCACCGTTGGTGATTCTCGACCCAAAGACGTGCCGTCTTTGAACTCTACCACTGTTTGCCGGGAGCCTTTGGGAGCCTTCGGAGCCTTCCCCTCATGTTTGGATGGAGTGAGAACATGGCACTGACACAGTTTGCGGGTGAATCGATTAGATCACAGGATCTCTTCATTCCAGCCCTGGTTTGGTGTTGAGAACGCACTCTACTGACATGTGTCAGTGCTGCTGGCAATAAGGGTTTGCTTGTAGGAATGCTTCCTTTTTTGCCCTTCGCATCCAATCTTTGCAAAGTTGAGACCAATCAAGAAGCCGATCCGGCAGGCTTTGCTGGCATTTGGCCACAAAGTCCATGAGCTGCAACATAGCATGGATGACTGTGCCCCTGAATTCTTCTTTGCAGTGTGCTCTGCCGGTGCAAATCAGGAGAGGTTGCGAGTGTTGTCACCTTCAGCCTCAGCTGACATATTGTTCATCGTGTCCGAAGGCGTCCATTTCAGACAGAGATGATTTGCATGCAACCCGGTTGAGTTCCAGCAATGCGGCTTCGCCGAGAAACCCGCATATGCCACACTGAGATTGTTGTTGGAACGTTAGTGTGTTGAGCTGGCTTGCGAGGACCTCACAGATGCCGAGAATGAGCTTGGCAAGGACCCGAAAGTGCCAACAGTTTGGCAACAACATATTGGGCAGCAGTTTTCTGGCCGACTCATGCACTTGTATGCCTTTGTTTCTTCGCTAAAGCAGTGTGCCACACATTGCCGCGCAAGTTCCTGTGCCTTTCTAGGAGTTTGTTCAATTATCCTGTGAGTGGATGTGGTCGCATGTGCTACTACGCGTGGTTGGTCACAAACTTGGTCCAAATGTTCGCCAGGAAAGTGGAATGAACCCGGTGAAGGTGCTGACGAATATCAGAAGCTCAGCTGCTACAGTATTTAAACCGGGAGGTATGCCACTAAGAGGTGATGAGCTAACAAGCAAGTAGCTATAGGCGCCAGGGCCAGGCTTCTTCAAGAAAGCGCCCCCGCTGAGGGCAGGGGGATCTTCCTTGGTTCCTACTTGTAGTGGTCTTTTTTGTGAAACTTAGATGTTATGTACTAGGAGCAAGAAGCTACTAGTAACAAGGACATCGCTACTAGGAGCAAGGACGCTACTAGGGGCTCCTGGCCTTACTACTAGGAGCAATGAGCTACTAGTAACACCTTTCGGAAAGTCATGGATTTCCTACTTTGAATCCTTACCGGTGCCATTCCCCACCAAGAGTCCCGTCCAGCACCGCGCAGGAAATTTGAAGCTCTATTGGCAGGCCTTGGGAAGCAATGCCGAAGCATTACATCAACGACTTGGTGCTATGTGCTCCCTGGCTGGAGCTCAGAGCAGCTTGTGTTTTTACAACTGCTTTGCTATCGCTCAGTAATTTGCCATGAACAGCATGTTAAATAAGTAACATAAATAATCACATGCAATAAATAGATATAGATAGTATATTATATAAATAAGTGTAATCAAAATAGCCTTAAATAATAACAATATCAATAATATGCAATGATAAACATGCCAATAGCTCGACGCCATTGAAGCCAAGGGCCATGCGCCGAACTGTGTGGTTTTGCGAAGCGTAATCCAGGTGACCTGATGCGGTCTCGTATTATGACCTCCTACGAAGAGAATCCCGAAAAGCGGCCCAACCTCGTGAAGTTCTCAGCTGCCTTCGACACAGTTGCTGGGACAAAGAACTTAGTTGTGGGTGCAGTAGCCAGAAATGTGTACGCCAGGAGGTTCTCGTCGTAGGCTATGGTGTTCCACCTGACAGTTCACTAGCTAAGGCCATCAATGGCTTGGCTGGAGCAGGCGAAGCAGATTTGACGGCACGACTGAAAGAAATGGGTGAATGAAGGCACAAGTGCCTGATCTCATGCCAGTCAGAGCCGTTCCGTGAGCCTTTTCTTTGGCATTTCCTCCTCAAGGAGAAGTGCAAAATCCAAGATGCTGTCATAGTCAGAAGTCAGAAGATTGTGTCCAGCTGCGGCTGAAAGCGGCAGCATTTTCCGCATCTCACTTGATTGGCTTTGACCAGCGTCTTCGATGTGTGAAAAAGAGCAAGTGGACTGGGTGAGGCTTCAAAACCCACCGCTCAAGTTGCTTTTCAGTTCTTCAGGATGTAAGCTCTAGGCGGCTGGAGATGTTGGACCATCCACGAACGAATTGGTGGTGCCTGGAGAAGTTCACATGTCCTTGGGTCGTCGTCGACGTTGTCTTTCTTTAAGTTACTAGGAACAAGGACGCTACCAAGAGCAAAGGGCATTTCTACTAGGAACAAGGACGCTATGTGTGGCTCCTGGCATCGCTACTAGGAGCAAGACGCTACCAGAGACACCCACCATACCATGGCATCCATGGCACTGTCTCGTCCGTAGACAAAGAGCTCTCTACTCCCAAGCTAGGCTAAATGTGGCCACTTCTATCTGGCTGGAGGTGCGTTTGCGCCGACCTGATTATGAGCATGACGCTGGCTGGGTCCAGGGCCAGGCGCTGGGTCGAGGTTGCAGTGGTGTTTTAATATGTTTTAATGCACTTCACATGGTGCACTACACCCAATCACTCCATGTACTTTTGAACAGATGTGGGTGGTGATTTTGTGCAGAGGCTGTCTGCAGTGTGACTCAGAGTAGCATGTTTCTTTTCGGGCGAGCATTGCAAGAACTCAGACACACTCATGGCCAAAGGTAGACTGCTCAGACACATCAACTAGCACTCAGCCGCCAGCCCGTCAGGTTTCCACGTTCCTAGTTGTTCAAAACTCATCCAATCATTGGCCAGAGGCGTTGTCTTGAAACGGAAGCATCATATTCCTTCTCGCAGTGGGAGCCCTTGCAAGACAGACACTGTTTGCAAAGTTGAAAAGCTCACCACCCTGACCGCCATGGACACGGAAAGCCAGCTGCGACGCTTGCGTAAAAGTGTCGAGGAGCAAAGCCAAGAGTTGGCAAGGCAGGAAACCACAGGTGTTGGCAAGTGCAGGAGCTTCAATCTGCTCAAAAGAGGTGGTGATTACCCCGGTCGCAGCCTGCCTCGAAGCTCCCATGTCTTTTTCAGATGCGGTCCCATCACTTGTACCAAATATAAACGAAGCAATATCCATTACCAATATTGCTATGGCGCATTGAAAAAGCCAGCACCATGACCAGCTTGAAGGCTTTTGTCGGAGCTGGGTCAGCAAAGCCGTGTGGTGAAGCTTTTGGATGAGACCTTACAGCAGACTTCGCAGCAGACCATCACTTTGGAGCACCGGCTCTCCAGTTCCTTGGTGGAAATGTATTTTTTTGGGGGGTAGGCTGAGAAGAGGTAGGTTAGGGTAGCTAGTAGAAGCTAGATAGCTAGTAGCTTACTTAAGCTACTACCTACTGGACGCAGGATAGCTTACGCTCGAACTGTTCGTTTGGTTCCTAGATTGTTAGGGAAACTGAACCTTCAAAGACTGTTTGGTTCAGATCACTCTTGTCCTAGATCGACCAAGCTGGGCCCTCAAAGATGCCTTCGGCACGGTTCCCAATCCTAATTGAGCGGGTAACTCTGGAAACAAGAGTCTTGATGTGAGTGAGCTGCATTGATTCCATTTGATTCCTCTATTTGTGAGCCCAACTCCATTTGGTTTGAGAAGGAAAAGTATCGACAAGTTGGATAGTTCGAAGGCCGGCCCAATCCAAATCCTGTTTTTTGCAGACTTCTGGGCTTTCAAGAGCTTGAGGCCGGCTAAAAGGGAACAGCTCCTCCAACCTACTAGCGATGGCCTGCCTCCAGCCTAGAAGCGATGACCTCCAACCTAATGTGGCTCCTCTACACCTTAAAAGTCCGACCAAGATCTAGGAACCAAATGAATCGCGGAGCGCTTCTTCAAGAAAGCTCCCCTAAAGGCGGCGGGGGGAGCTTCTTTGAAGAAGCGTGAGCTATCCTCCAGTAGCTAGTAGCTTGGGCCCTGCTCCTTACTGAATTCAGCAGGCGCCTACTTAATTGAGTAAGGGTGACGGCACCTCGGGCTAAAAATAAGGCCAAAAAGAAGCTACTAGAAGCTCCTGGCCTTACTACTAGGAGCAAGAAGCTACTAGGGGCTCCTGGCCTTACTACTAGGAGCAAGGACGCTACTAGGGGCTCGAAGTAATATTGAGCAACTCAGAGTAGAACCACCGAAGTTCAAAACGGCCAGACCTGGAGCACGAGCGCGAGACCAGCAGCCGCTCGACGCGGAGCGCCTTTGAATCGCTGGGCGCCCGCGTCACTGAGCTTGGTGGGCGGCCCAGCGGTGGGCGAGACTGGAGTCGCTTGGGACAGGCAAAATGAATGCCAAATGGTCTCAACTTCTCAAATTCATGCCCACGAGACACATGTTTCTCATTCCATGTATTGCCATGTGATAATGTGATAGTTCAGTGATTATTGCGGGTTGAATTATGGCAAAGGCATGATGTGTAGACGAGAGCAGCATGGGCTCAGATGTGGTGCTGCATGTACCCCATGCAGACGAAACTTTCTTTGTGTTTGTGACCTTTCCAGAGAGTAGATCAAGTTGTAGAACGGGCTGGATGTGCTTGACTGAATCCCGAAAAAGGAAGTCTACTTTTGAAGAAATCCTGGCGCTGGCTGGTAGGAGTTGAAGTTGCAGAGTTGCCCACCGCACGAGAGATGCAGGCAATCTGGGCCCAAAGATAAGACGCTAAAGCACTTTTGCGATGTGATTATCCATGTGCAGTCCCAGATTCCAGGCTATTTAGATAGATCTAGTTGAAGGCCAGTCATGCAAGACACCGTCGCCGAGGGTGGTAATTAATGGAATGAACATGAATGAACATGTGTAATTATTGACAAGTGTATTTGTGTGTTTCAAAGCCCAAGACCAGACCTATCACAGCTGCTCCAGCCGACCTCGTTTCAAATCTGCATAGGCCAGCTGGCAGCAGCTTGCGCAATCCGTGGAAACCTCTGAAAGGGTGTTGCGCGCAGAGCAGCAGGAGGCGTTGCAATCCTTGAGCTGCCGATTGGAGGCAAGCTGCAGAGTAGGAGCTTTGAGGGGCTTGCAAAGAGAAGGGATTGAAGTGGCGGGCTGCACTAACTTTAGTGGAAGCTGCAACGAAACCAGTGGTTGGCATGCAAACGAAAAGTTGTGAAAAGAGAGGAGATTTTGCAAGATTCATGTCAGACCTCATAATTTGCAGCAGCAAAAGGAACTTGAACAGCATGGAATCTGTTCTGGAGATGGAGATAAAACTGAAGTGATGTGTTCATGATGCTGTGTTTTGTGGTGCTAGGGTTGACGGTTTGGATGTTGGTGTTGCCAAAAACAGAGGGATAGGAGGACCTTTTCTGGGATCGAGAAGTTTGGACTGGAACCGGAATCATGGGGTTTGCAACAAACGAGACCTGGGAAGACTTGTTCTTTGGCTGTTTCAATTTTTGGAAAGAAAGCTCACCCTGAGACATCCTTCCTGCCCAGGGAACCTTGGCGGGCCTACGTCAGGACATGGCTCTGACCACCTTCCACTTTGCACGACTACAATCTAATATACGCGCGATGCATATTATATATCATAATCATATATTATATAGTATATATATATACTTGTACGTGTGAGTACTAAAACAACAGCACGCTGGCCCGGCACTTCTTCACAGGACTCCGATCATTGCCGTCAAGATGTGACGTCCTTGCAAATGCTGGGCGCACCCGGATGGGGGGTGGAGATGTTTGGTTCCTTGCATGATTGCTTGATTCAGATGGGGGTTCTGGTTGGTGGGCTACCACGGTTACCCAGACACCAGACCTGCAGAATGCTGCACTGAGTTGCTTGAGGCAAATCTTGGAAGATCTAGCTGAACAGCAGAGACAGGCGAGGTTTGGGTCGGCCTTTCCAACTCCGAAGTGTCCATTCTTGGGAAGGAGCAAGGACGCTACTAGGGGCTCCTGGCCTTACTGCTAGGAGCAAGGACGCTATTAGGGACTCTCTTGACTCTTGCGGAGCAAAGGCCTCCACTTCAGATGAGGGAACCAGGTGGAGAAGACCAAGTGATGCCCCCGTCGGGGTCTCTGGTCACGATGCCCTTTGCTCCTAGTAGCTTCTTGCTCCTAATAGCGATGCCAGGAGCTACTAGTAGC